GGAACCAAGAAGGTTGCGTTGGGCGGACGCAGGAACAAAGGATCGGGGGAAGGAACGGGACACGAGTTTCTGGCTCGCGACGCCTAACCGCTTACGAAAGATCAAAACGAGAAATTTGCAACTCAGCAACAACGAAAAATAAGAAAAAGAAAAATAAGGAAAAGTCATCTTCGATGAAAATCCATTTACGAGAACGAACACGCGTATCACTCGCGGGCCGTCCGTTTGTCTTCGACGCGACCCATTTCAGCCTTAAGGGTAGCTTCTATGAACAAACGCGACGAAACGCTCGGCGTTCGGAGAGGACAATCGGGGAATGGGGTTTCTCGTCTATCCGGCGAAAGGTTCGCGACGCGCACGCCGCGATTCGGGGGATAGATAGCTGGCGGTTGCGTAAAGCCGCGTGCGCACTCGCAAAGCCGTTAACGAACAGCCTCGAGCAGCTTCGGAGCCGGCTCTCGCGACTGGTTCGCGATTTCGAGCCGAAGAAACAGCAGAGGAAAGCGAAAGAGCCCGGGGCTCTTGTTTCCCTCTCATGTGTATGCTCCGCGCGTGGGAATGCGGCTTAACGCTCGAAAAAGACTCGTTTAAACGGCCGCGCGACGACACCGCCGCGGATCGTCGTCCTCCGGCGATCGATGAGCGATTCCGTGGCCGCCTTTAAGGATCCAGGATTCCGAGAGAAAGATCCCCTGTCTCGACGAAGTTTCTAATCCCGATCAGAAAATTTCTGTCTCGATCGCTGTCGTCTGTTTCGCTCATAACGCACACGCGCTCGTCGTTTTACAGATACTCGCGCGACAATTCGATCACACTTATACACACCAAGCACACCGACAACACACGTACACACATCGACACGCGGATTTGCGTACAATCGTTCTCGTTCACCTTACGCGTACCTTAACGTAACTTGATTCTTCGGTCCTTAATATACATGCATGTATATGTATATATATTATAATATACACATATATAATATATATATATATATTACACGATCTCAAAACTATATAGGCCTAAGAAACTTCTTTCTCGTAGCCACGAGCCATTTCGCATGATATAGAGAGAACTCGTCGCTTCGTAGGAAACATTTTCTTCTGGTTAATCTTACGATGCCTTACGCATACGGCGCGCGTGTACAGGGTGGCCGCGGAGGAAAGCGTCCAGGAACAGCAGACCTGTGTCGTTTATCGTTTAACCTTTCAACTGTGGAGCTAACTCGCGGAAAATGCGCTGCGAGTCCACTGTGACGAGTGAACTCGCGCCCACAGTAAATGCACGTATCTGTCGCGTTTTAATCTACATGCGTGACTCTCATGTATTCTCGTAGTAACGAGCTGACTCGTACGCAGCTGACGCATTAAACGCTGCGTCAGTGTCAAATTTAAGGAATAATATTTGATAAATCATACAGTACGAAACAATTTGTACGTGTCCATCGCAAGAAATTTCGTTGAACCATTGCAGACAAAAGACTTTTTCTGTTGTGTCTTGCCTACGTAGAAACGTGAGTTTTCCATTTAAGCGACGTCTAAATGGAAAAGCAAAGCGAAAAGAGCTCTGCGTTTAACGTTTAAAAGTGTTAAAGGGTTAAACATCTCCCGAGACAGTCGGTGTTCATTCGTTAGTCGACATTGTTTCGCTAGCCCCTTGGACTAAGGGAATATCGAGGACCGCGCAGCCCGTTCACGCGCGCCTCGTTACAAAGTATGCATACGGTCTAATGTTAACTGTTAATCCGTGGTTTACGCTAAATACTTCTGAATTACGAGCGAGGCTTCACATTGTTTTTTCGTAATATACAACAACTGGACCGCGCGACCGAGCCGGTCCGCGCGACCCGTCTTCATCCCCTAACGAGTTAAACGTGGAACGATGGGGAGCTGCGGTCCTGGCTGCTTCAGAGGTCGAAGCCACCAATCGGGACCGCGAATGGGGATTCTACGCTGGAACTACCTATTTGAAATGACTGACGTCTGTGCTTCTTACGAAATTTATAACAGCACAATTTTGCACATTCCTGGCTCTTATTCTTGAACGTTCGCGATCAGCGTCAAATATTCGTAACATTCAACATTTTGTATCCTGGGCGAAGAAAATAAAATGACTTTTGCGTATGTTACTGTTTAAAATTGTATTCGCATGATGTGTGAACAGTCAACGAGATGTTTGCCTTGAATCCTATTTGCAGCTTATAAAGACGATTTGTTGCATGTAATGAGGTATTAAGTGACTATGAAGATTGCTGCTGAAACGCTGGTCGCGAATCTGTTAATATTGAATGAGTGATGTTACTAATGTTGAACATTGTTTAGGGTATTAAATTGAAATTTTATGGTAATTGCGAAAGGAAAGATTATAATCAATCATTCGGACTGGTAGTTCTAGCGTTATGAAGATCGATTTCTATGCAACCTTACCTCGAATCGGTAACAGTTTTATACGTAGTCAGTATCGTGCTCGTCGTCAGCGAATTAATGTTTGGACACGGCAGGGTTGCATGGAGATCCACTTTAAATCTTACGCTAAGCGAGACTGTGAGAGCTGCGAAGGATAGAAGAAGCTTTCAGCCGTGGTCAAAGACGATGTAAGTACTCGAGCGATCGCGCGGCGACCATACCTGGCCGATCGATCGACGAGAATTGGGTAGATGGGGGTGAGGGTGAGTGATCGGCGAGGAGATCGCGCGCAGCAGTCTTCTTGATCCACGATCGAAATGAGAATTACTCTCGAACTTGGCACTTTGACTCGACGAACGAGGCGCGAGCGCTTCGAGGAGGCTTCGAGTCGAGGAGACGGCGATTCTTTTCCCGGTTTTCTTTGCTGGGCGACAAAATGACGGTTCGGAAATACTTCTAGAAACCTTCATCTGTAACTTGACTACAGATCCATTCATTTATTTTATGGATATTTTTGGAGTTTTGAGAAATTCCGATGGTCGAATTGCTTCTCCATTCTTTGAGCCCATTGGAAAAGTTCAATTTTACTGTAAATTTTGTTTTTTAACGAAAAGTTTCGCGAGCGAATTATATAAAATTTGGAATTAAAGTAACGTGAAAATTTTAAATAACCGAATAATTTCGCTGTCTTGTAATATTGCATTCGACATTTGTGTCACTGGAGTTTCGAGATTCTTAAATGTGTAAATGTGACATCACTCAATTCCATTCATCGCCCAATTCAAGGTTCTCCGATAACCTTTGCACGTGAATAAGGTATCCTGCGAACCGATCGAAGAATATCCACGCAAATCCACCCTTCCGCGGAGCTCCTGTCGCCGTATTCGCCCATGACAAGGGCTACGCGCCATTTTACACGATTCGCCTGTCGATATTTGGTCTAATTTTCAATTCTCATCACCGAAAATCTTATTTTCGAATGAATTCAACTTTACACTTCCAATCTTTAGACTCGAACAAAGTTGTATGTTATACTTTCGATACCTTTTACATAAGCCGATTATTTTCAATTGTACCAATTACAAAATACTCCATATATATATATGATTGCATAGGATTAACACGAATTGCCAATAAAACAAGAAAATAAAAAATGATCGAAAGACGAATTAACTCGTTTCCCGATCGGTTGACAGGTGAATCGTAATCAGCTTAAGAAGCGTGCAAGTGACCCCAGTCACAGTTTTACTTTATGGCGGACCCGCGGCGACTCTCTGCTGCGTGCTTTGTACGATTCTCGTTGCTTCGACCTAACGTGTACGGGTAGTAATGTGTAAAGCGTTACAAACTGATCAGGTATTTCGTATTAGGTCACTATTGACCGGACAGCTCGCGGATGATTGCGGTTCTGCTGTTGCTCCGATTTCCGTAAAGCCACGAGTGAAAACTTGTGAATGTTGCTACAACGAATAACGTGTTAGTCTCTGGACCGTGCGAGGGTGGAAATTAACCCTTTCCCATACAACATCGTGTCAGACTCGCGAGGAAGATCTCGAACGGAAGTAAGATTAAATATGGCTCAATTCTTCGGAGTTCAAATGAAATACTATTTCTCTATCATCAATCGATTGTTTTTAATACCAGAGTACTATTAAACCAAGGAAAACTTCGGATTTCTTTCACTTACAATTATTAACCGTTTGAAACCCACCAGTTTTTGCAAAAACCCGTCGAAAAATGGCAAGCGGCGCGATCGCGCATCTTTCGCTTTCATTCGGACATTGAATTACGGTTTTCTATTTTTATAAAAACAAATTTTAAATAGCGCGATCGTTAGATTTTTCTAGTTCTAAGCGGGTAATAAGAAAAATAAAAATGAATAATTAAAAGGAAAAGAAATAAATAAGCATCATCTGATTCTATGAACAGATAGACTAGCACTTTTAGACAGTGTAACGAAAAAGCGCGATCATGTCGCTCGGAACTCAAACGGTTAAGAAAATGCAGCAAATTTTTTAGAAAAGCTAAAAAATGAAACAAATTATGGGGAAACTGTATTTCTTCTATTTCAATGAAAAACTCATTCTTATGGGAACACTCTTGAAATTTCCAATCGTCCCGCGCGGTTTCCTTCGAAGCAACAATAGACGTGTGCGAATCGACGCGAGAAAGAAACGAAAAGGGAAGAGTATGCGCGATCTACACCGGCGCACGAGGAAAAAGGGATGGAACAGAGAGAAGAGGAAAGAAAGAAGGAGGATGGCCTTCACAGAGAGATGAGAAAATATATGTAATGTATGTTACGTATGTATGTTAAAATGTATGGATGTATGTATACGTATATATGTATATGTACACACACATATGTGTATATATATGTGTGTGTATTATATGGAACTTCTACCATTTCGTTTCGATAACGTTAAACTTACTCAGCGAATTACGGGTTGTTAATAAAATGGGATTAGCTAATCAGTCTTTGTGTTAGAGGCTCATTACATATAGACTCAGCTGCGTATCGCATTGCTGCTGCTTGTTGCTGCTGTTGCTTGCTTGCTTGCTTGTTTGTTTGTTTGTTTGTTTGTTTGACGTTGCTCGTGGCTTGCGCATCGTGTCCTCTCCTCTCGCGTGCGTTCGACGCTTAAGAGTGATTCGACGCAGGCCACGCGCCGATCGGATCGTCCGTCGACCGATTCTCGACTCTCGCTACTGTCGAGCTAGAAACAACCAGTCTACGTTCTCTGTACTCGGAAGCGTGACGTATTTTGCCGCGTTGAAATCATCCGTGCTGTATTTGTTCATCAGAATTCAATGGAACCGCGTCCGAACGACGCGAATGTCAATCGAAGAGGTCATTAGAATGGTTTCATTCGTGATGTGACGATTATAGTGACGAGGAGTTTATAATATCCCGGAGTTTCTGCTATAGTTTGCGTATTTTTAGGCAGTTACACTTCATCGATGAGTTGATATTCTTTCCCTCAGTTTCGTGTTGCTAACGGTCGATCCTTAGAATAGGCATTATTTCGAGTTGTTTGTATCTTCAAATTTGAAGGTTTTTAAATTTTGATATTTCGAGAATTTTCGATGATGAAGCTTTGATATCTGAAGACTCTGAAATTCTCAAGTTCTGACATTTTCTGGTCTCGAAAGTTAACACCAGCGTCAACCAAATACGATACCACTGAATTCTTATTACTTCTCCAGCACTGCCAGTAATTCCAACGCAATCCAGTAAGGATTAGACCGGGGCGGGGTGAGTCCTGTTTTCGAACGCCTTGAAGTTTTTGTTTCCACTAACAACGCGTGCTTCGTCTCAATTCTCCAGCCAGTTCGTTTCGCCCGCGTGTGTCTTTTTAGCACCAATGCAGTAATTTTTCTATTGCACGATTCTGGGAGAAGTTTCGCGGGGATCCGTTCACGCGGACGAACCAAAATATTCCGGAAGAGACGAGGCACACGCGGTACCATAAAAAATCAAATCGGAGACGCTCGATGCGTCGCCGACAAAGATTCCCAAAAAGAATCCGCTTTGTTGCAACGATGCGAAACCCTCTGAACCAAACATTTGTTCTGTTCAGCTTGCAAAGTTTTCAAAAGCCTCGGAAACGTCGAAGGTGCTTCAAGTTCGATCGTAAGACGATTCACCCCGTACATCCCGTCTCCGACACGAGCGCCGATTAATTTAATCTATCCACGATAGCACTCGAAGAAGCCTAAAATCAGGCGAGGCGGCGGCCGGCCGCGATGCCCATGGAAAATAGAAAAATCGTAGGCGAGAGTATGCGCGCGGCCGACCACCGCCCCAACGAAAGGAAGAAAGCCGACGTTTCCGCTTGTAGTCGGTACGCGCTGACAAACAGAGGCGCGTCTTCGAACTGTTCGTCGATAACGCGACGGAGCACGCGTAGTCAGACGTTGATGCTCGCGTGACCACCGATGCAACTGTCACTGAAAATCTCTTCGCAAGTAAATCATCGAACTACAAGGAATTAAGACTAGCACTGTACCATTATCATACTTGTACACGGCAAAAAAGTGTCTTCCTTATCTACACTTAAAAATACACACAGTGTGTTACAAAAATATTCCAAGACACACAACTTGGCTTTCATACTCTAAATTTTCTGTAAACGATGATCGAAGCGAACACGCGCTACGCTAGAGGGTAGCTTCTAAACAACAAAAATGTACTGATCCTACAGGATACATTCTACCAAACGTGAAAGTCAAAATATACCGATTCTCAAATAATTTTTATTACCAATTGTGCACGTCGATTATTCGTCAAGAAGCGATGCACGAACGTCATTCATTTTTGAAAGTGCGCTCGAATACTTCAGGTGCTAATTGTTGCAGTCGCATCGGTGTCATCGCCAGAGCCGACCTAACACGCGTGAAACGGCGAGCGAATAATTCATAACGTATAAATGTCTGACGCGGCGTAACAGTTCGCCGTCGAAGAGGAAATCAAATAGATGGCATTACGTTTGCTCGGGGGCGAGTAACTCGGACCGGCGAGCCGCGTCTTCGTTTAGTCGTCCCCTGTTTGGTCGGAAAACGCGTCAGGTTCGTCCGATTGTTCTCGTTACGCGCCGCGCTTCGTCTCGGTCTTTAAAAAGGCAGTGTCTGCTGTAACGGGGAGGTGGAGGCGAGTAAAACTTCCGCGGTAACCGGAGGACGGGCCACGCACCGCGACGAGGGATCCGTCGAAGTCGGGAGCTAATGGTTTCAAACAGACGCGAAATATTCGCAGCGGAATCGATGCGCTCGTTTTACACCAATGCAACAAAATTCGTGTTGGTACCTCGCCGCTGAACTGCGGATCTTTATGTTAATCCTTGGATTTTGAGAACGACCCTTTACTATTAGGCATTTAAATCGAATAACGCGTCTATTGTGATTTGAGCATTGCAGTATGCAACAACTGCTCAAAGATCGGCAGTCTACTAACGAGAGTTTCCGTTGCAAGTTTTAGACGACGACGATTCTATTGACTACTAAATATGTCGGTTGAATAAAATAAACCATAGTAGACACCTGATCCCGGTGCACTTACAAACCTCAAGAAATGACTAAGAAAGAAACTTTCCACAGACTTCCGCTCTCTCCTATATTATTGTCCACGTACCGGAAACATCAACTTAGGGGACAAAATTGTTACCTCAGTGTCAGCAACCCTCGGTCGAATGTCAGAGAACCTCAGAGTCCAGTCTCGAAGGAACAGTTTAGCGACCATTCCTCTCTATCAACATTCCGCGTCGGTCAAGGGTGGCCACGGTACGCGCGCGTCCGATCGAATCCTTAAAATACGAACTTACGAGTAGAACAACACCAGCAGTCCGAATCGCACTTTCCAGCATGTCCGGTCTCGGTACGCGTCGCTCGAGGAAGCCCGCGTCTGATCATTGTCGCGCGCTATCGCGCAGACACTGCCCTCGCTCGATCGCGGTGTACCCTGAACGAGTCCGCACCAGACTCTCCCGGATCGCTCTGTGCTTGACGCATTCGCCGCTCCACGTTCGTGCGTTCACGTTCCGCCGGCGAGCGACGGTCGGCAGCGATATTCCAACGAGGATGGAGTCGGCTGACCGGAGGAGCGTAAACCGCGACGAACACGAGCCGCGAACGCGTTAAGACTACGTCGTCGTGCTGCCTATGTACCCATTGTTCAGGGTCTCCGGTTTGTTCACGTACTCCGCAGCCTGCGCCGCGTTGTCCTTCTTGTCGATGGCTGCTTCAACGTCCACAGCATCGATCGGCGGGAAGTCGACTCGCAACGGCACCATCTCCCTCTTCTCGGCCGCGTTGAGGATCTCCGGGCTGCCGTTCTCGTAGTCCGGATTGTTGGCCAGCTTCGACGAGTTCGGGCTGCCCAGATAGCTCCTTTTCCCGGTGTTCCTCGGGCTGACCGACTTGTTGCCGACTGACAATTGACTCAGGTTACTCCTGGACGCGCTTTTCGCGTTCATGAACGGCGAGCTCTTCACCGACTTCAGGCTGTCCTCGACGAACGGCAGGTTCAGCGTGTCCTTGCCGGAGGCGACCGAGTCCGCGGACACACCGTCAAAGTCGTCGAAGCCTGCCTTCAACGGTATGCTCGACGAGTTCATGTTCCTGCAATTGCACGTCCCGCCATACGAGTCCAGCCTGTAGCGGGGGCTGAAGCTGTTCTTGCTGATGCTGCCGGGTTCGAAGCTCTCAAAGTCGCCGAAGTCCTGGCGCAACGGCGAGTCCTCCTCACCCTCCGCCTCTTCCTCCTGCATGTCTTGCAGGTTCGAGAGTTCCAAGTGTCTGAGAATAAAAAGCCCCGAATGAAACGTTTGAAGGAAAAGTGGAGTTTCGTATGTTAAGGGACGGACGGTACGGATAAGGAGTTGACAAATTTCAAGTTTACTTGAGGACTAATGTACAGCTATCCGTTTTTCAGTTGATTGTAATACGTTAGTGCTCATCCGACACGTTCAGATCAAGTGAGCTACAGTTCTTTGAATCGATTGTTAAAACTTGATCGAGTCTAACAGAAACATGGATGCTTACTCGTCGGACTGCGAGGAGTTCGACTTGTTCTGATTGCGTGCTTCGATCCCCTCGGCGCTATGATAGAAGCTGACTTGTTGGAAGCTCTTCTTGTCAGTATGGTCTAGCAACGTCGCGACGATGTCCATGAACGTGGGTCGTTTGGTCGCCTTGTGCCTCCAGGTCCGTTTCATCAGATCATACAGCAACTCCGGACAGTTCTCCGGCGGCTCCATCACTCTTCCGTCGATAACATACCGCAGAACCTGAAGAAAAGCGAGAGAAATTCAGACAATAGTGTCTTGCACAGTCATTCTCTCGAATCAATGAATCTAGACAAAAGCTGACGCACCTGGTCGTTCGATAAACCTTGATAAGGCTGGGACGCGAAAGTCACCATCTCCCACAACACCACGCCGTAGCTCCAGACATCGGAGAAGCTGCTGAATACGCCATCCTTCAAGCTTTCTGGCGCCATCCATCTGACTGGTAGCAGACCTTTGCTACCCTTCCTGTAGTAGTCCCTTTCATATATGTCCCTAGTCATCCCGAAGTCTCCCACTTTGACGGTAAGATCCTCGGCGACCATGCAGTTTCGGCAAGCCAGGTCCCTGTGCACGAACTTCTTCGTGGCCAAATACGCCATGCCGTCCGCGATCTCGATCGCCATCTGAAGTATCCGCTCCGGCCCCGGTTGCGGGTTCGCCTCGTCGCAGCCGTCCGGCCTGTGGCTCCTCAGGTATTTCTTCAAGTCACCGTTCGCCATCAGCTCCATGATCACCAGCGTCGGTTGGCCGCTGGTCACCACGCCTAGCAACTTCACCACGTGATGAGCATCGAAACCCCTGTCCAGAAGAACGTCGGTTACTTTAGAATCGAGAAATAATACACTTAGTTTGAACGGAAGATGTCTGCGTCATTATTTATCATTGTTCTTCTACTCGCTAGAATTTAGGACAGCTATGAAAAATATCAACAAGCCTAAATTATCGATCGATTACAGTGACATCTGTAACAAAGAAAGCAGAATCCGATAGAATCGAGGGAAACGGGGCGGTACTTTCCCCATTCTTTCGACAAGAGATATTTAACTATGATCAGTAGGCTACTTTATGTAAATTCAAATGTTTAAGAACATAATTACAGGAACAGAATAATGGTGGAAAATGATATTTCGTAATGAATGTTATAAACAGCACTACACTTTAGATGTTTTGTGTATTTCGTTATGTCGCGTGCATTCTGTGCAATTAAGCATTTCCAAGTTTCCTATAAATGTATACAAATCCGCAGGCTAGTGACCAGTTTTCCTTGGGTCACAGTGCCTTCAGCCTATTCTCTTACTTCATAACGGATGCCTCGTTGAGGAATTCGATCCGTTCCCGATCAGTGGCCACCTTGTTCACAGTTTTGACGGCGCACCGGACCACCGGCTTCCCCTTCACGATGTCCTTGGCTATACCCTCGTAGACCATGCCGAAGTAGCCATTCCCCAGCGGCTTAACCATCTCGATCTTCTCCCTGGGTACCTCCCACTCGTCCAGTACATACGGCATGCTCACGTATTGCGGGTTCACGGTCGCGATCAGAGTCGAGCTGGCCGCGTTCCTCATGAACTTCCTCTTGTAGACGTAGTACAAGAACAATGCTACCAGCAGCAGCATTGTCATGCACAACATCAGCCAGAATATCACCCAGAACGAGTTCAGGGTGTTACGTTCCTCGATGTAGAAGTACTTTACTTCCGTGCAGTCTCCGATCCCAGCGAGACTCGTCGCGCGAACCTTCACCGAGTAATTGCCTGCGTGCAGCCCTCTCAACACGTACGATTTTCCTTCTTTGGTGAAGTTACGCCGAGTGATACAGATCACCATCGGTTTGTACTGGAACAGAGACACAGCGAATCTTAAGTTTCTTTGATTTTCACGCTTCAGATCTAACTTCGGAATCGAATATTAAGATAAAAGAGAAGTATAACATTTTATTTCGTTTCTAATGAATACGAACGAGAGGCAGGACGAACGAGAATTCAGTTGAATATGATTAGTCTGAATATTTGTTATTTTCGCGAAGTGTAGCGTTAGTTGCTACCAAATTTTTCTATGAGCTACTGTATTGACGATTAAATCATTGATTAGTCAAATGAATGATCCAGTTCGCTCACGTTTTGTATGTCCACCCTCTTATACTCGATCTGATAGGTAACGATCAGACCGTTTGGTTGCGGCGGCTCGTCCCACTGTAGCGTGACGACCGTGAGGCTGTTGTTCTCGCTGGACTTGCTCGCCTTGAAGGATTCCGGCGGTATGTTGTCGGCACCCTCCAGTGGCTGAGTTCGGACGGTCCTCATACTCTTGGTGGAGCACTTCCTGAACGTGTCGTTCATTTCCTGGGCCCTGCACGCCTGCACCTCGATGCTGTAGACGGCGTAGTGTCGCAGGTTCTCCATCACGAACGTGTGATTTGTGCTCGGCACCTGCCGCTCAAACACTATGTAGCTATTGTTCACCTTTTTGTCTGCGAAGACCTAGACGCCCAAAAACACTCTAGTTACTATCGTTACCCTATCATTATCATTATAGCATGTTGAATTTTCATTCTCATTACACTTTATCATTTGGAATGACACTTTTGCACGATCCTCGATACTTATGAAAGATCAGAATCGCATAAGTTACAAATGACGCATTGGAGTTCAACGATACAACGAAGATAGAAAGCAAATGATTAGGATCAAGTTTCGTCGAGCATCTTACCTGTTCAGACTCTTGCCCGTTGAAAGGTGTATCGCCGACATCGCGTTTCCTTCTCGTTTTTCTCTTCACGTACACCTGGTTGTGCAGAGCGTCCTCGAACGCGATCGAGCTCGAGGCTTCCTTCTCCCGAAGCGACTGATCATTCTCGCGATCCACGCACTCGCAGGTGGTCGTCTCCATTGCGATCGTCCGCTCCTTCTCTTCCTCCATCCGCTTCTTCTCCTCCTCTTCCACCGAGATCGCCTTCTTATCAGTCAACAGCATTGCTGGTAAAAGTCAAGATCGATAATCGCTAATGCAAAAACAGTCTTACATTCCACTCAACGCTAGAATTAATCAGACGGGTTCAACTGACACAATCTACAATGTTTATTTGGCAAGTATTCAAATTGTGAACGCGCTTTTGCGAGAGAACATGAAATAACTTCGCGTCATTGTATATATAGGGTAGACACGATCAATCGGATTGAAATAATAATCCAGTCCACGTTTGTTGTATCGCAAATTATATTTCTCATTTTTTGTTTCTTATTTGCTAAAGGAAGATCAAAAATTCTTTACCGTTTGTTACCATTAACGTTCAAGTACTTTTAGTTCTATGATGTCAAACAGAAGATGGCCCGATTCGCTTGGGCTTACCCCACAAGAATAAAAGGCTCTCCAAATCTCAAGGAATGTTTTGTTCTAATTTTGCTAAACATCTAGAAACAAGTCACTGTAACTACTCGATAGTTCTAAATCAAGCTTTCCACCGAACCATCTACCCAAAAGTAGAACGAAAAGAAAGATGACCGCTTACGTTCGTAGCAGTAGTTTCGCTGATCAATGAAGTTCGGATCATCTGGTTCCCATCGTCCAAAGATGCGGTAGTGCGTCAAGTTCCCGTTCTTGTGCAACGGCGGCATCCAAGACATATACAGGTCGTTGCTATTGGTTCTCCAGATCTTGAAGTTCCTAGGGACGCTGGGAGCCTCCGGCAACGTCCTGAAGTACGTCACTTTGCTCTGCCCACCGGATCTCTCGGTCGCGATAGTGTACGTCTTCACGTAGTACGCGTACTGCGTGTACGGTTTCAACTGAGATAAGTAATGCGAGTGGACCTTCTTCTTGCTGTCGTTCTTGTTCACGGACACGTCGTCGACCTTCCAACCGTCACCGCCGCACGCGTCCCTACCGTCGTACATCGTGACATTCCTGTTCGGCGCCTCGATGAAGTAAACCACGTAGCTTAGCAGCGACCTGGCGTCGTGATGGATGAACGGCTCCCACTCGATCACCGCGCCCCGAGGCGAGTAGTTGCCTACCCGAGTTTTCAGCTCGGTCACGTTGCATGCCATCTTGTCGCCGTTGCTGTTCGGCGCTACCTCGTAGTCCGTGAATGGATTCAGCCCGGCCTTCTCGCGGAGGGTCTCGATCTTGTACAGGCACAGCTTCGGGTTCATGTGGAAAAACACCCGGCCGGGCTGGCCTTTATACAGGATCTTCAGGTCCCCGTGGGTACTCCAGTCCCATAGTTCCTGCAGGTTCTGGTTGTCCATCACCTGCAGCGAGTATTTGGTGCTCTCGTCCACGTTGCCACCTATCAGCCTCAGTTTCTTCAGGAAGTTCAACGATATTAGGGGGAAGCTGCGCACGATCTTGAGGTAGCCGTTGATCTCCTCTATCGTGCTCAGGTTGTCCTCCAGCTCCTTCACGATATTCTTGCCCCCGCGGATTTGGATCTCCAGGCTGCCTGTTATCCGCGTGCACCCGCGAAGCTTCTGGGCAGACGCTATGCTGTCCACCATCCTGCTGGAGCACTCCTTCTGGCAGGGTCCCTCGCATTTCTTGCACGACGTCTTGCCGTTCACCTCTTCCTCCATGTAATCTGGCGGACACTCGATCACGCAACTACCGTTGAACGGCTTGTACGGGAACTCCTTCACGTTGTACGCCTCGAGAGGTTTCTCCATGCGCCGGCACTTCTCCTCGGTGATGCACCGGTAGTTCATGAACTCGAGGGTGCCGTTCGGGCAACGGTCCCTGCACTCGTTGTCCGCGGTCCTCACGTCCTTACACACCATGCAGTCGCGCGCTGTGCTCCCGGTGCACCTGCCCATGCACGACGGGTGACAGCACTGGCCCGTGTGGTCGCACGCGTTGTTCTCGCACTTGCGGTCGCAAACTGAAACGCGGAAAATGGATGGTTCGAGATTAATACACGGTTGATCTGCTGTTCTCTTTGCAAGCGTCTGGGAAACGAATATATGAGTTACCCATTGGCCAAAAGTAATCTCCACCGCTATTGCGAGGCGAAGAGATTGAAGTGCGCGGTTAAAAGAATTTATGTTATTTCATGGTACTAGACTCAATAATAAGGACATTCATTTTAAATGCAAAAAGTCGAGTTATTCGAATTTAAAACACTGAGCTGACCGACTTGGCCGATGAACCACTCAAATGTAATTGCGATTGTATGAATCTGAACGATTTACCTGTTGAAATTAAGCAGTTTCTTATATAGAAATTAACTGCCGACGGATTGGCGGCATGTTTTTCTATTGGTGCAACGGTTTTAATTGTGAAACGTGACGTTCTTGGGAGACATTAGTCCAAGCTTTGGGGAAATCAGGGTGTTTCAGAAATTTCTAGGTTTCTAAATGTTAGACACTTTTAGGAATGGGATTATTGTTGGGTTCCCTTGATATCATTGCACTCCGATTATCATCTTTATAACGTGGAAGTAGTAATGTATGCTACCACACAGATATAACCTTAGTAATCTCATAAGAAGTATTATAAAAAAAAAAGATCCCTTGTCCTCTGTCTTTCTCTCCCTTTTCTCTTTTATTCGGATACAAGGCTCTAATTTAGAGCCATAGCGCCCACGAGTGAATCGCCCGCGGTGCCGGACGTTACACGCGTACACCGCCAATTTGATCGTGCCTCTTCTTCTCGAGACCGAACGATTCGGAAGGGACGGACCCCATTTTTCGCAAGGCCAGCGGATAATCGGATAATTTTGGAAGGAAGATAAGCATTCCGGGCAAATGCTTCTAACTGGACTGCGGAACATCATGCGAACAATATTTGCATAATTTATGTTACAGACCTTTGTGGACTACGAAAGTCTATAGAGCTGTAATCATTTTTAAAAAAGGGGGGAACTGCAAATATCGTCCAATGTTTGGAATCTACGATCAAGATGACCAATCTGGATATTCTTTTGTATCGAATTTTGAAGATCGAATATACTCTAAATGCATAGAATCCACAATCTAACGTAAGAACTGCAAATCTTGCGTGAATTTTTATTACCAATCGGCATCAAAAAGTGGCCATCGACCTTTCTGAATTCTTTATCTCGTTTCAACCGCGCGATGAACTATTTGTCGACGGGATTTCGCGGACGAACGGTAGCTTTCCTGGACGGTCCCGTTTCGAGAGTTTCACGGGTAATCGATGATCGCGGTGCGTTTGCGTACGCGTAAAGTCGTTGAACTCGTCGACGTGGCCGCTCGCGAAACTCGAGATCCTCACCGCGTTGAATTTTCCGCCCCGGAATACATACATGAGTCTATCAACCGATAAAAGTTAGTGCTACAGAAAGAAGAACTGGTAGAGCCAAGACATGAAACTGGAAAACGTGCGTGAAACGAACTCCGTTGTCAATCGTATAAGCCTAATTCCTTTAACATTTAGAGGACAGATGTTTTTTCTTGAAAATTTCGTTTCTCGAATGAAGTCAATGCTATTATTTGCTTGAAGTATTACTTTGTTGGCAGTGTTGCTGGTTCCAACACAAAGTCTCCCTTTCCGATTTGGTCTGTCCTAGGGGGCAATGCTTCTCGCACACCGGGCAGCCGTTCTTCGGATTGTTTCCCTGTGAACAGAAAAGCCAAAAATCCCAATGAAATATAGAGGAGCTAATACGAATTGAACGACGAAGTTATATGTCGCTGCACCAACTACAGAATACGCCAAAGAAAAACAATTATCCATATTACTTCTTCATAGAAACAGTGGTTCATCGTTTCAAAATCCATTTCACACGGAGCATAAAGATTTGTGCAAAATTCTCAAACAGATTTTGCCGACTCTCCAAAGATTAATAATGAAATCCGTGTCCAATTGCATCCAATGCAGAAAGGGACTTTTTGAAGAAAGAACAACGATTCATATCATTGTTTCACAAAGACATTGTTTCCAAATACATTGAATGCAGAATTTAATATCTACAAGGTCCTTAAAGAGGTTTCACCTTTTTATCTAAACATTGATAAAGGGATGAATGGTCCATAAACTTTTCAGTCGTCCATATAAATCTCACAACTTCGAAATTCCCAAAGAAACGCGTATCTACTAGAACCAGCACGGGTCACGTATTTCGGCAACGAACTCGGGCTCGTTTCCTCGTTAGCCACGCGTAGGGGATGAAAAAATTCCTTAACTCCCGCGGAGGTTATAGGAACCGGGGTCGGATCGATACGTCTGGCGCCTTGTATTATTTACTTTTACCAGCGTCGCGCTGTTTCCCCGCTCTGCCCCGAACTTTCATTTCCATATACACGCGCGGGTGGCTGGAGCGGGATCGCGATACGCCGCTCCCCGCGCGACTCTTGTTCCAACTTCGGCACCGCGTCCTCCTTTTATTTTGGAAACTGTAACGGAGAACACGGCAAAGCCCGTGATAAGTAGCGGTTTCGCTTGCCACGAAGGCAATCGCTCAAAAGGGGACATTCCACCATGGGGGAAAAATTGGCGAAATCGAATCTCTGTTTATTATTTGCCATTTTTGCGGCCACCATTAAGTCAAACGAACACGGAAAAGGTGGTCGGTCCGCAGACTGAGCGCTTTCGTTATTACCGTTGATTATAGCTGTTCACTGTGAAACGTATTGTACCACGTGCTGAAGAACATGGGCCTGCCAGCGTATGGCGCGAGTCACGCGATTCGTTTAGGTGGTATTTTCAGTTTACTTGGCAAAAAGCTTTGTTTCCAACGAAATTTGTAGTCATGAATGCTCCTTTACGCGATAGAAGAATTCGTTCGTCTCATTTTCTGTCAATTCACTGAGCCAAACACTTCCGAAGGAGTTTACCTTTGAGTACATTTTGCGCCGTGTTGACGTATCGACCTAGATAACGTTGACTTATTTGTCTACTGAAACTGCTAGTGTAGCGAAGCTTGCCAATAGATGGGTTTCACACTGCTATCAGCATCATTTTTAACACTTGGCAAATAGTAACCATTAGAATTTTCTCTAAAAATGGTAAACATTTAGCAAAATATCAGTATCGCGCATTGCAAAGGTACCCGAAGTCTCAGATATCAATGGAAACGTCAAAGACTCCCTATTTTACACTGTCTTATCCTTGTTTCAGAGCTGCGTAGATGGCACCGATGATTCACGATGGACTATAGTAATTCATTATAATGAAGGCTAGCCAACAGTCAGGTGAGTTCCTTGAAAATTTCTTATGACAGACAGCATCGGTCTCGTGGTAAACACGTCCACCCCCCGGGTTAACAGGTTGAACGTCAAGGGTGGCCGGCACCACGTGTACACGCTGCATTGGGCTCGAATCTAATTTTTCTCGGTGGCACGTGTAAGAGGTCCACGTGTCGGCCGAACTCCGTCGCAAGATTCCGGCTGGGGGTCGATCGGTCGAAGGAAGTTTCGTGACGGGAATCTTACGGAGGGGTCGCCGCGGCGTTTCCGATGTCGCGAGGTTGCGAAACGAGAACTCGACGGGCGCTTCGGGGGATAAAAACGCGCCGGAAAGCTGAATCCCGAAGTGAGAACTAATTTCCTTCAGGCTGAAAAGCCACGAGCATCCACTCTGCTTGAATTTTCTAGCGCGTCGACGGTCTCGCTAATTAACCCTATGACCTGGTCACGTTTCATGCGACACTCTCGCGATTGTTTTTTCATCCCGGGGGAAGGAAGCGGGACATACGTGGAACGAAACGCTTCTACGCATGACCGTGTGGATAATGCGATTCAATTAACGAGTATTAATGATTTAAAGGAAGAAAAAGTAATAAGTAATTTCTGGGTAGCTTCTATTTTAGTCTTGGACTCTAGAGACTAAGTAATAAATTTGTGACTGTAAAATCATTATTGTACAATCGACACATTATAAGATTAGCCTTCAAACAATTAGCACGTTAGTCGTAAAATCGGTACTCGTTAAATTCCTCGTACTATTAAATCAATTTTCTTAACCGTTTGGTTACGACAGAATGTCGCGTCACCGCGTATTTCTAAGTGTACAGAAATCATCAAAACACTGAATTGAACTAAATTAAACCGACCTAGAATAATCACATTTATATAATATATATGTCGTAACATATATTGTTCGCAACTTTCTACGCTAAATATGAAAGTATGTCATCATTTGTACAAGTACGACAACATTTGTCCTGAGAGGGTCAGACTATGTTTCCTGTCAATGATACTACGAACTAACTGAAGAATCGATAGCAACGATTTCGTCGTCACCAACGAGCCAGCTTCCTGAAAAAAATGGACGGAAAAAATCTAATTGGATGAGCGTAACGGCACGCGCGCAAAAATCACACGAGGTCGTTCGAAAGCTGCGTCGAGAGGCCGTTGACAACCACCGAACGCCTCCCTCATCGCGAACGGTCGTTAATTTGTAAAATGTAACGGCAGACCCTCGACGCCTCACGACCTCGTTATCGCACACGATATTCACGACACGAGTCCACGCACGCGACGCGTGGCGTCCATGCGTTCAGCCTCTTCAGCTCGCTGTTTCAAATCTCTACGATCGCTGCGATTCGCCAGTCATATCTGCTTTTCATTAGATAGAATCGTTTGTTCGATTTTATTGAAAGAAAAGGAGAACGAGTTAAATGAACGACTCATTGTCAGTGATCATCGTTGGTCAGTTGTTTAAAGTAAATGACTCGTCGGGATTATCTTATTATTAAGATATTTATTATCTTATATTATTATGAAATCAGCATAATACAAGAAACAGAAATAAATACTCTTCGTGTATTAATATTTCAACAGTAGGGAATTTATTCCATAAAATCAAATTGGGAATCGGTATATTCTTTGTGTCACAGTGATCACTTGACTCTTGGATCACTGTCATTTTCAAATTGGATCGTTTGCTTCCCTGACCAGTGTGATTCCCGAATGAAAGACAGCATTCAGCAATTCGCACGATATCCGTAGTTAAGGTTCACTTTCAAAGGAACCGATTATTCCGATTACGGTGATAGAAAGATTCTCGCGAAACCGTTCCCAGAGTTACGATCTTTTGTCGACGCGCGGCTCCCGTGCGATCGACCCTTATCAAGTCCACGAAATCGCGTCGAGGAGCGCGTCTGGTGGATGCGGTGGCTTCTAACAAATCTGGGAGACGAAATAACAGCTTCACGTCGATGGATTGCTTCCCAAGTTAAAAGATTCGGATCTCTGGAGAATAGAGGCGTGCACGGTCTCGCGTTCTTCCCGACGATTATCGGCGATAGATTCTAAAGGACGATCGGGCGGCAAGATTAATTTCATTCGAACACCCGAAATGAAATGATCGAATCAATTCCAGCAACGCAGCGTTTCTCTCCATGACGCTCAACACTTTAACCTCCGCGTCGAGCGAATTTAAACGACACCTTTTATTATAAACGTAACAATTAATTTTCTGGTTAATACAAGACAAATCAAATTTCGTCGGATCTACGAGATGCAAGAAGATTAAAAGAACAATTCCTGCGATAATCTTGTTTTTTTTCCTGTTAGTTTCTTTAACCCCTTGGCTACTGTTGGCGCTTAAAGGCGCTTTAAAAATCTGGTTTCGGTGTACTGTTGTAAAATGTTATTGACAATAGTTGCAGCAAAGCTCGCTTAGATCTGATGTAAGTGAATTCTAATTCAACAATTGCATCTTCCGTAATCGTAACATTAGTATAAACAGTATATAATCCAATAACATTTCACAAAAATATTTATACTCAAGAACTCACAAATCGAAGTTAGACCACTATTATTCTGAGCTACTCACATAATACAGCTTTTTATGATATTTTGAATATTTCAGAAAATCTTGGTCCGCGAAGGATCGGGAATAATGTCCAAAGGGTTAACGAGGGTAACGAGTGTAGAAAGGAAAGTCGGTCGCTAGCGAGCGTGACGAATCCCCGCGATAACCTCGCCAACTAGGATTCAACTTTTTCAGAGGGTAGATTGCTCTCGGACTTTTAATCGCTCGACGGAACACAGTGTTGCGACTCTTAAGCCGAGTCGGCGGGTAGGAACGCGATCGCCACGGTTGATCGTCACGCTTGCACGAAGGAACCTCCACTTCTACGTAAGATGGTAACGAGTCCTTATTAATGAGTCGTCTTTACTGAACACAAGGCGATATTCCTTCTAAAACGATTAGCGTCTGACTCTCGCGAAAATTATGAGCGCATTTATCGCAAGTTCGAACTTGACATTTGCTCCATCGCGTAAAGGAAACTGCTAATTTCGCAAATAATCTTTCCTGCAAGCAGCAATTATTCTGATTTCATGAATAGAATGCTACAGAACATCAACTATTCGTATCTGCTTCTACAACCCACTATCTATAACCTTTCCCCTCTTCTTGCACGCACGAAAACGATTCCACACAATTGCTAGAGATCGCTTGGTAGCTAGGCTAAGGAATATGGCTCTGATCGTGTAGTTCTCATCTCATTTACAATGCTAATTTTTTATTCGTCAATACGGTTACGCGTAACCAATTAGAGGTACAAAGAAAACAAACAGAAAAGACCCCTTGCCCGCTAGATATCATCTCCTATCGGTAGTCTACTGAGAGTCCAAATGTCCATTCAGGACTGTCATCCTCGCGCGTAAAATCCCAACGACTTACGAAGTCGATTCACTTCCCTCTCGCAGGGCTGACTCTCGTCCCGCGGTTGACCCGAAAGGGGAAAACTCTAGCAGAGGAGCGTATTGCCGCGGTCAAGATGACGATATTATTACCGCGGCGGCGCGAGGACAGTCGGTCTACGCCAAAAATAGGTGCCGGTCCGAGACGGGCGCCAGAATACGTGATTCTCTGATATACGCTGGAACTGGGAGTGACTTTATAACCGTAGGCCGAGGGGGTGACTCGAGGGGGATCGTCTAGCCGGAAGCAATCGGTCGCGCGAGCGGAGACGTCGCTGTCCGATGGGTCGGTCCAACGGAACGTGCGCCCCGCCGTGCCGGAAAATCTCGTCTCGTGTCCCGTCTTGTCTCGTCTTGTCTCGTTTGTCTCGTCTCGTCTCGTCTCGTCTCGAATCGTCTCCGGCTCGACTCGTCTGGGGTGCGTATTCTCGGACAAAGAACTCCGGGAGAAAATAGCGCGATGCCTAAACCGCGCGACTGACTGGGTTGCCCCGCCGCACAAAGCGGAGCATCGGAGCGACACGACCAGCGGTTCGCGCACGCATTCCAGCCACGTCTAGCGCTCGCGACCAGCCAGGCCTCTGCGCCGGTGATCAACCTTTTTTGGATCCCTATGTCAACGCCTCCAAGATCTTAATGCCTCCTTTAGCATATTAATAAACCAAGGTCTCCTGGAAACGTTTGATGTTAATACGTTCGGTGCGGATGGGGACGGTAGTTGTCAAGAGAAAATCGCAGGGAGTTATGGAAACTCCAGTATCATCTTGGTAACTCTACAGTGTATTACTTTAGGAAACATAGTTTCTCTGAAAACTGCAGTACCGTGGGTGGGCCAATATTGCTTGCGGATGTAGAGTATCGTTTTGAGGACTATAATATCGTCCGCGCACGAATAGTATCAGTTTGAAAACTACAGTATCGTTTGTGAATCAATTGCGTCGCCTTACTAATCACAGTATCGCTTTGAAGACTGCATTATCAGTAGACCAATAGCATCTCCTTGGTAACCGCGGTATCACTTTAGAAACTACGTTCGGTAACTAACAATAAAGAGTTGGAATTCACCTACATCGAAAACTTGTTTCCAGCTACACCGATTACAACCGTAGCATCCAGATCTCGGAGCATCAGAGTTGCAATATCAATAATTTGTTCCCGGCAACTGTGAATCTTTGAAAACTCCACTGAAAGTATTCAACCTACACTCGTGCGCCCGCTTCTTTCGTTGAACCCGAAACCTCTCTATTCATGCACACCCCTTTCCACTCACTAACTCTCATCATTCCATCTGCACACATTCCCCTCCACATAACCACTCCGGCCAGCTCACCCCCGCAGACTCTCTATTCATACACGCTCGCCTCTTTCCATTGCCAATCCCTCTGCCTTCCAGCCGACTTAAGACTACCTATTCCGCCCGGGCGGGGTACACGATTATTTACTGGCCCGGCAAATGGAATTGTTTACCGATGCGAGCGGCAACGCCCGTCCCCGCAGCCCCTACCGACAGGAACGGGGCTTTGGTTCGTTGCTCCGCGCCGGAATAACGCCCCCGCCGCCCAACCCCGCGCGCGTACACGACCCGGGGAAGTTTCTGGCAAGACCGCGCCGCGGCGACTTGGCCCGTGCCAGAAAACGAGGCGGCCAGCCCCGACGCTATTGCGATTTCTTGCCCGCGCGGGACGGATTCCCCGTGCCAAGGGGACCGAGAATCTAAATGGTACTCAGTAGCCACGTTCCGCCCTGATATTAAAACTTTCCTTCGACGAATACCCCGTAACGACCGGTCTGGCTCTGTGCTTAAGTGACGGAGAGAGATCGCTTCAGTATTGCTAGTTGGGACTGCTTCAACCCCTTCGCTCAAGATTTCTACCCTGATCTAATAAAAAAAACGGAAACACGTGGATGGAAGCACGATTTTCTTGTTACCAATACCGCGGCCTGAACGATACACATAAAATAATATGGTTATTTCGTTGAAGCAAATCTTTGGTTGAAAAATAATGGAATAATTTTCCAATGATTTCATTGATTATCCGTTTGAGTGCCAAGGGTTATTCCAAAAACCCGTTCGAAAAATGCCAAGCGACGCGATCGCGCTTCTTGCGTTCCAACTGAGAAACTGAATTACGCTTTTCCATTTTCACATATAAAAATTCTAAATAGAACGATCGTTTTATTTTTCCATTTCTAAGCAGAAAATAACAAAGATAAAAGTAAATAGTTAGAAGGAAGACGAATAATGGCACTGAAACGGTTAAATTTGTGAAGTGATACAATTAGTGTCTTCCAACAAAATTGTCTTAACGGTGAAATAAATCCGAAGAACATGGCCGCAAAGGAAATTGGACGAAGTAATGGGACTCTTGATGCTTCTTGATTCTTTACCTCCAAACGTGAACATAATGGAATTTCGAATAACAGTACCGATAAGTACCTTTTAACATCTGCAGCGATAGGCGAAAAGAGAAAATCAAATCTCCGAGTTACTCACCGAGATCACGTGCTCCCCCTTGCCCGCCTTGGCGATCAAGTCCCAGTCAATAGTATCCACGTAGCAGAGCGCCGGATTCTTCTCGAACCTCACGGAGCCCCTGACGATCGTGGTCAGGCTGTGCAGGCCGATCTCCTGCAGGCTCATCATCTCGAACGCGACCAGGGCATAGTTGAATAGAAGGGAATGGCCGCGGATCACTGTCAGGTTCGGGAACAGCCGACCGATGCTACGCAGCCCTTTCACCCTGCACGGCGACAAACGAGAGAATAACGTAAAGAATGAGAGGAGGAGAAGAAGAAGAAGAAAAAGAAGAAGAGGAAGGTGAAGATGAAGATGGAGATGAAGCTGAAGATGAAGAAGAAGAAGAAGAAGAACAAGAACAAGAAGAAGAAGAAGAAGAACAAGAAGAAGAAGAAGAAAATGAAGTCGGATCACGCCATGAATGGGAAATCCGGCAGTGATGGCTGTTTTACGATGTAATACAGGAGGAGAGAGCGAAGTCGGAGAAAGAAGCAGGAAAGAAATGGTCGATGCGACGGCGGGAGGAAACGGAGGGGCGAGGAGGGGAAGGAAGGAAGAAAATAAAGAGGGAACCGGCGAGATAATAACGCGAACAGGAAGTTTAGTGACCCCCGACGGGAGAGGAAGTCGTAGCCGACGCCGGTCTTCTGCTAGCTTCCGCTTTGAATCGGATGCGCGCGTTTCTTCCGCGCGGACCATTTATCATCGGGCAATTTATCAGTTTCCTGGCTTCAATTTCGTCCGATTTCGTTCGATCCTGACACGAAGCGCACAGATATTATCTAGTGAACTGGATTTATTACGCTACTGATCGAGGACGATTGCGCTCCTCGTTTATTGAAGACATTCATTCCTGGACACCGGTGGGCGAAGGCACCTTTCATCCGTGTTTACAATGAGTTTGAAGGAAGAGAGTTAGTTATAATGAAATAATTAACTAATATATAATGATTCTGAAAATCTAAAAGTAACTTCGAAAATGATGAGCATAAGCTCTCGTTTTTGGTAGCAGATGTGTTGAAACTAGATAGTTTGCGCTGTGATGTTGAGATTAACCAGAGCGCGAGATTTACCTGTATAACAACAAATATCCGGTGATCTCCCTCAGCTCCGGGAAAGAGATGTTTGCGTACTCCGCCGGCTCGGCGTTGTCGATCAGTAGAATCTGTACCACCCCTTCAACTAATCGGCAACCCTTCAGTTTCGAGAACTGGCTCACGCTGTTCCTAATGTCTATGCTTTGGCACACTGCAACAGAAAAGAGGAATGTCGTCAGTACCGATCGCAGGGATCGCGGTGCAATCTCAATGTGCTAAAACAGGGGAGAGAAAGAGAGACTTGATCCAACCATGTCTCACGATAGGGGTAACAACAGAAAGTCACTGATTTGATGCTTCCCCAATAACCACAATTAGACAATCATAAAAACGAGAAAGAAAATATTATTCACTATTTCATAGAAAAGAGACCAAGAAACATTCCTAGGTATTTTCAAAATCTTTCCAGTGGTCCAGTGAGACATCCGAGAACAAACAAAACCATACACCCTGTCAAACGATAAATCGCAAAATTTTCTTATCTCCACACTTCCAAAAGAACCATAATTAACCTACGTTCTCACACGAACAATTTTTGTTAAATTCGAAGAAAATGCTTTTCCCTTATTGGAAACGCATTGAAGGAATAGTATAATCAACTTATTTGAAAATATCCTAGTAAAATGTGACAAAATAGGTTAAGCAAAGCTAAAGAACGCAACTAAGATCATTATTCATCGTCTTCTCCAAGAAAAGAAAAAAATCTTGAATACTTTCGGAAACTATGGGTCTAACGACTAAAACATCCCCTGAACAAACAAAACCCTACACCCGATCACGCGATAAATCGCAATAACATCTGCTCCTTCATTGTCTATCTGGTATATCCTTCATCCGCTGACTCAGAAGATTTCTATCGGCGCGCAGAGGCTAGAAGACTGACGCTCGCGCGTGGATTCATCGCGGCGGAGTAACGGGCGTCCGTCCACGTGCACGGCGCATTGCAGCATATCGCTTCGCGCCGCGGCGGATCAGCGCGGATACGTCGTCGCGTATCGTCGATGGAGCGGCGAAGCGTCGACGCGGCGATCAATTGTAACGGGTAGCGCTAAAAATACGTCGCGACGGCCTGGCATTGGGGATAAACGCGCGCGAGTTGATCTAGGCACGCGGTCACCTTTACAGCTAGTGCCTTCAACGCGTTAGCTGCCACTGTCGAAGCACTGTCGACGCAGCATATGATACTCCGGATGCAATGCATCAACAATGCATCGACTGACTGCGCGTTGATGGTATGTGAAGCATGCGTCAGCTTTGGCCGATGCTTCCCGGTTAATCATCGCAAAATCACTGTAGAAATCGAGATCGATAACGCTTTTGATCGACCAATAATTACTTCTTGTTGTTTAAAGATTTTCGGTTTGACTCGAGTTTCTTAGCTGTTACTAATTGCTAACTGATTATTAATTATTTAAAGAGTTTCCGTTTGTCTCAAGTTGCTTAGTTGTTGTTGATTTCTACTATTTAAACGTTTTCGGCTTGACTCAAGTTCAGTTGTTATCGATTACTAATTACTTCAAAACTTTCGCCTATACTCGCAACGGTATCGACTAATAACATACAATACAGCCCTAACTTCTGACAAACTCTCATTTATAGAACCCGAATGTGCAAAATTCTATATAATGCACACTACAAAAAAAATCTATACAAAACATCCGAAGTCTAATGCTTTTTATAATATTTGTTAAGGCAAACATTTCCCTGTCATAATAATTTTCCTTCTTCAATTATATTTCGAAGAAATTGAATATGCATAAAGATCCACTTTACAGTCTACTTTTAACAGCTTCAGCTACCTTGCATCGCGACTCCGCTCCGTTTCTTCTTTGCCGTCCGACGCCGTGCGCATTTAGACGGTTTTTAACCCGCGGTTAATTATCTAAGGTTATTCTAGGTTCCCGCTCGCGCCGCTACTCCGTAAACAAAACACACTGTTGGCAGCGGCGCTGAAGAAGGAGGCGGGGATAATTGTTATGTAGACAGCCTGAACGATCGGGCGCGTTTTATTTCTCTCTTTATTTTTTCTCGTTTTTGCACGCTTTTTGTAGATCCCCGCGCCCCGTTCCGTCTGCGCGCGTGCACGGGACGCATCGTCTGCGGAATCTAGACGAGGAACGCGGTGTAGGAAAATTCCGCGAGGTCCTTTCTCCGAACGGAATCTTTTATTAACGCGTCGAAATGACGAGCGAGTCACGCTGGATTTTCGATTAAGTAATTTCGATAGTTTGTCAGAAGAAGAAATGATATACCTCGACTCGCAGAAGTATTTCAAATATGATGTACAACGAGAATGAACACCGAATCTTCAGACTTCCAATCGAACAAAATTGAAATCGAACGATATACATCTGAGGCGGGATAAATCGATTAAGTTATTAATTTCCTCCGTATTGTAAATACTTTCGTTGACCTGTGTATTCATGTCTCTTTCATTACACAACACTTGGGGCATTCTGTAAGTTCCCGGAAGATATAAATAAAAAATCAGCGAATATCACGAACATGAACGTATATTCTATTTAAGTTAAATATACGTAATCAAGTGAATTTTAACAAATTCACAGAACACTTCAGTTGATTACGAAAATAGTATTCTATCCGCGAATAATAATAAATCTCGCAGAAAGTTTCTAAATGCCTCTTGTATGTTCTTCAAGTGGAAATGCGCGTTTCATTTTGCAGAGCGGAGTTCCTTTGTTTCAATTGCGTTACTGTTTTACGGGTCATAAAATGATAGCCACTAAAGCTCGTGCTAAAGCAGGGAACCTCTGAAATGATTGATTCATTTGGGTCGAGGTACCATTATAAGCAAATATCTTGCATCACGCGGCGGAAGGATTGCTAATAAACTGCCCACTAATCTAAAAGAGTCTATGATTACAGCAGATGCAAATTAACTTGTTTCTTTCATTCTGGACAGATACTGCAGCGTTTGATCTCTCTATAAACGATTTATTCCCGAGCGTTCTATTGAAAAATTGAGATCATTAAGCAAAATCAGCAGTCACCGACTGACGTACGAACAGTTTCCTCTGCGACTGTAGTCAACGGTGACGACGACTGTGCTTCGAGCTGCCCAAGGCGGTAACAAGGAAAACCGAGAGCGAATGGGAGGGCATAAACAATCCAATTATGGAGATGTTAGGCCTCCAAGACGCCTTGAAGCTCCGAGACTCACGCTTCTATATTATAACGCAGCGGTGCGCGCGGCGCTGTAAACAATTCATTTCTTAATTATCGCTTCCTTCTGAACTTTCGAACGCATTTGTCGCGTTTCATTATCTTTCTCAAAGTTTCCGCATTCATTTAGTGTGACACCGACAAGGACACCAGAGGTAAAGAGGTTACCGAAACGTGAAAACAGGATTCAGTCAGAATTGAATATTTGATATTAAATTGTATTTAACACTAGACTTATGGAACCCCTCAATTTGGCGGATACTGAATTCTTTAAACATTATTCAGTAACAATTTAAGTCGATTTTGATTCGTGCAATCATGCGAATACGCACTGCAATACTCTGGTTTTGACGCTCCAACTTTCGCGATTTATACAGACGAACGCGTAGTTTTCCAGGAACAATAAAATAAGGCGTAGAACAAACGTCCGTAAATCTGATGTTAATAATAAACTACTTAAAACGCTTCGGAATTGAACTACTCGTATAATAATTCATTTCGAAATTTTTACGCCCTGTAAAACATGACACATTAGAAAATTCTCTAATATAAAGGGTTGAAACATCACCTACTAATACGCACGATTTTCAAAATGGACATTATGTTCTGTTACACGTATTTATATATTTGCCTATTTATTACTTGAAATGCGATCATACCGTATATAATTACAACAGATACTATTAATAACATATACCTAGAGTATAATATAAAATGTCTGTGTGAAAGCTGTGTAAAATGGTGATTCTCATATGAAACAAAAAAATAACCATTCGTTTCCTCAGGAATTACTTTCGCAATGTCGAATCGGATTCGACATTTCAGTTTATTGCAACTGCTTATTTAAACGATATCATAATCGTATTACATAAACGTACCACATCGTTGTTCCCAGAAGTTATTATAAAGAATTTAAGTGGCATATTGAATGACGAATGATTGATATATGTATCATCGGTGCAAGCTTCATAGTGAAAAAACAAGAACACTTCAGGCTGCAAAGGGTTAATAACACTTTCAAAGGCGATAACGCGCGGCACGGAGCGACCGGTCAGAGATCTGCGTCGTTCTTAAGTGTCGCGTGGTGTTGTGGGTTTTCTCGATGCCGAGACGTCGCGCCACGCCACGCCACGCCACGCCACGCCACGCCACGCCACGCCACGCGCTGCGGCCGAGGATCCGAGGTCGAGGCACGGACGTCCACTTTAAAAGTCAAGTGCACCGAGCTGCCGACCGAAGACGCCCGTTTTCCTTGAATATCTCATCGCGAAAATCGAATCGAACGACCGGGGCCAGCGACGTCACCGACGCCTACATGGACGCCCACTTCGCCTGTTTGTCACCGGCTGATTTTTTGCGACGCGCCCGCGCCGAACATCCGGCCGCTGCTCTCCCTCGGTATCCAGCAAATGTGTCTTCGGTCGATCCGGATGCAATTTACTTTCGACTGAGTCGACTGATACACTGATCACGTTTATTGTTGAAACGGAAACAGGAATCGGTAGTAGAACAGTTTATCGCTCACTTTGGTAGCTGAGATGAATATGTAACAGCTTCCCTCCGTAATGTCGCGTGACTAGTAAGAAGAGTACCTAAAGGTTAGGCTTTCTAATTGAATTTAATAATTTTGAATATCATTCGTTTCTTGCGGATCGAAACGAAATAGTTATTTGTTTTTATTAACACTTAATAGTTGACGTAAATATAAATTCACTTTGAATATATAGTAGAAAGTCCTGCCCTCTTCATCAGTTATTAAAGAGACAAATTACTTTCGACAAGGGTACCTGCAAAAGGAGCCCCAAGGCAAGGAGTCAAATATTCATACTTGAATTATAGCTTGCACTTCGCGCAGGGCAACATTACTTCGATAAAGGTAAGCATAAAAAAGGTCATAGAACAAGGGGTTAGGAGTTTAAGGTCTACGCAGGGGTGTTCCGAACTATATTAATGAATCGCCCGAGGCTG